CCTAAGCCAACAAAACCTATTGAGTTTCACTGGTTTGTATTTCCTTGTAATTAATTTGGGCATTTAGGAGAAATTTAATAGAAACTTTATAGGAGTCCTTTTTTAAAAAATTTATTTACATTCATTCACTATACATCATTACAGCAAACAAAGTGAGATTTCCCATCCAGAATACACTGTAAATTGGCTCAATCAAGCACATCAACATACATGTTATCCTCGACAGATAATTTTCCATTTGTTTCTTGCATATTTTGTTATTTTTGCCATCCTTGATTCTCTCTCTCTTACCCTCTGCCATGTCTCATCCTCCTCCCACACTGTCTCTGTTATCCATGTTTGCTTTCTATGCCTTTCTGGGTTAAGGTCACCAATCTCAATTCTGTCTTTTTAGTGTAGAGTTAAATACCTATAAGACTATGAAATATGCTCTATTCTTGATGATAATTTCATATACTGTTAACTTTTATAGTTCTGCATGGACAATTTAGTAGAATGGGAAAGTTATTCACACCATCTTCCATGTAATTTTTTTTCCTTCTTTCCATATTTCGTGTTCCTTCCTTTCCTCCCTCTTTAAAGGACTGAACCAGTTCAATTTTTTTTAAAGAATTATTTTACTTGGGACCAGCTGTTAGTGTAATGGCTATGTCACTGGACTCCCTTGTAGTCAACTGTGGTTCAAGTCCCGAACCCGGTGGCTTAAACTCACACTGGGCGTGTGTGCATGTTTGCCCATGATCCCAAGAGGTGAATATACCACCAAACCACTAAACAGAAAAGAGACTGCAAAGTGAGCAGCAGGAAGAAATACAGAGATATAGAGAGAGCATCTTCCTCCACATGCCTCTGATTTCTCCGTTGAAACTCCACAGTTCAGACCAGGTGCACCTGCTTTTTAGAAACTGGGAGGCCTTTGTAATATCCAGTTCCAACAACAAAAGTGCAGGTTGCTTGGTGAGCATCAGGGAAATGAAATGGCAGAGATATTGCAGGTCATCTCCTCCCACACGCCTCTAATGTTTAGAATTAACTCCAAGAAGTTAGAATAAATGTATAATCTGTCAGATGACCAGAAACTACCACAGAGGCACAAGAAATGTGAGAAACCAAGAAAACATCTCTCCCCCAAGGGGAAAGAACAGCCCTTCATCACCCACAAAAAATACAGTGGAACTCAAGGAATTGTCAAATAAATAATTTAGAATTTTCAGTGACAAAACTAATTGAAATGCAAGAAAAGAGAGACAATCAACTCCAGAAGATACAAGAGAAAAGAGACAAAGTTCCGGAAGGTAAGGAAGTTCTCTCATGATTTGAAAGAAATACACACCATAAAAAAGAATCAAACATAACTGTTAGAGATGAAGGATGTTAAACAGGAAATAAAAATCTCCCTCAAAATGATTAAAAGCAGATTAGACTATGCAGAAGGTCGAATCTCAGATGTAGAAGACAAAACCTCTGTCTTAGAAAAAAAAATCACCGAAACAACTGAGAAAATAACCCCCCAAAATAAGAATAACATACGAGAAATACCAGATATCATTAAACACCCAAACGTCTGGATAATTGGTATCCCAGAAGGTGAAGAAATTAATAAGGACATTGATAATCTATTCCATGAATCTAGAAGAAAACCTTCCAAACTTAAAGAGGCATTCAAATATCCAGACCCAAGAAATATAAAGGACCCCAAACAGAATCAACCGAAGATCCAAGGCATATCATAGCCAGATTGACCAAAACATCAGATAAAGACAAAATACTGAAATTGACAAGAGAGAAATGTCAAGTTACTTAAAAAGCTTATCCCATCAGGCTAATGTCAGACTTCTCATTGGAAACAATGCAAGCAAGGAAAGAATGGGAAAATATATTTAAAGTGTTAAATGAAAAACAATTTCAATATTATATCCACCAAGATTACTCTTCATATGGGAAGAAAAGATAAAAGCATTCTCAGATAAACAAAAACATAAAAGAATTTACCAACACCAGACCAGTTCTTCAAGAAATTCTGAAGGGAGGGCAACACCAGGAAAACTAAAGACAGACACACAGAAATTAGAGAACAAAAAATGAACCAAGAAAATGGCCAACTTAGTGATAGGGACAAGTCTGGAAATAGCAATAATGATGAATGTTAACTTCCAGGATTTTAACGGACAGATCAAACCACAATAACACTGAAAATTCAACAAAAGAGAGATTAATTACATGATGCTGAACTGAAATAGAATTTTATGACTTTTGACTAAAATATTACTGATTTCCTTCTATACAAAGTCTTCCAGATTTAAAGATTTTTTTACTTCTTTTGAGTTGTTGATATGTTCAGCAATTTGTTAAATTTTTTAATATTGAAACATAAACTTCTCTCACTTCCTGACCCTTCTGCAATTGGAAAATATTTGTGAGCATTCTTATTTTGTGGCAAAAAGATTATTTGTATAAGTTCAATAATACAGTATCTGTTGCCTTGCATCAGAAATAGAATTCTCATGGGGTTTGTTTTGTGCAAATAACAGATCAAACTGAGATTAAACATAATTGTTTTGCAAATAAGTTAGTTTATGCATTTCTTTAGTAAAAGGTGGAATGGAGAGAGAAAAAAAATGTTTCAGAAAACTACAGTGCACTTGTTACTAGATTTTAGCTTTGTCCATATATTTAGTTTAATTAAGATCTTTTGTGAATCAGTAAAATATGAAAAAATTTAGGATGGAAGGGAGGGAGGGGAAAGGGGAAGAAAAAAAGTAAAAGTACATTTAAGTGACCAAAAAATGAGAAGCTATTCCTCATGATAACATATAGTAATGTCTTTGTCTTGACTGATACGCATGGTATTTGTGCTGGAAAACAAAATGTTGTACACTGTACAGATGTATGTGATTAAATGTAAATTATATATATATATATATATATACACACACACACACACACACATATATTATTTTAAAAACGAAAACAATGAGACTGGCATTTGAACAAAAGTGGATGAATGTGGAAGATTTACCACTAAGTGAAGCAAGTCAGACTATGAAAGAGACATTATATGTCCCTACTCAATATATACTGAAAGTCTGTTCTCTAGACAGAAACTGAAAGATGGGAAGCTATAAAGGCATGAAGAACAACTCTAGATAGCAGAGACAGTGAGGGAGGATGGATAACATGGGGGAAGGGGTTAAGAGAGGGAATCAAGAAGAAAAAAAAGAAGCAAAATCATTTAATGAACACAAAAATGGAAAATTATCTGGTGATTATAATGTATATGGTAATATCTTTGACTAAACTAATAAACGATGTATTCTTGCTGGGAAAATCCATTTTGTATGCCAAAAAGATGTACAGTGATTACATGTAAAATCCGAAAGTATAAGAAAAAACACATTTAAAAAAGAGATTCATGTCTTTTTTCTTTTGGAAAGTAATCATACAGTTAACTGAACTAAATTTTGATGAAAACAAAGAGTTAAAATAAAAGTAGAAGCTAAAAAGTAATACACTGGGGCCAGCAGGTGGCATAGTGGTTAAGGTGCTGAACTCCCACATGGTCAACCACAAATCACAGTTTGAGTCCAAGACCCAGCAGCTTGAAAATCACTCTGGGTGAATGTGCAGGCATGCCCCATATCCTGAGAGAATGGAAAAAAGACTGTGGAGTGACCATCCCACCAGGGAGTGATCTCTCACTTTCCCTTTCACTGTCTCCAGTGAATGCACACACCCAAAGGCAAAAACAATAACAACATACTATTGGGCCAGCCACGTGGCATAATGGTTAGGGGAGCTGGATCCCACATGGCTGTGTGGTCCAAGTCTCAGACCTAGGACTTGAAAAACATGTCAGGTGTGTTGAATGTCTACCCAAAATCTTTAAAGGGGAATGGGAAAGGGATTGTGTTGTGGTCATCCTTCCTGGGTGGTGCTTTTTAACTTTTCTTCTCTTGCTCATGTATGTACGATATAGCAAATTAAAAAAAAAAAGTGTATAAAAAATACAATTAAGCTTTTGAAATTGACTCTTAAAAATTGAATAGATGCTAAAATCAAGATAAAAATATAAATAAAATTTTCCTTTAAACATGTTCATGTGACTTCTGTGCTCACATGTCACTTTATACTCTGAATCCCCTTAACTTTACCTGCAAATGCACTTGCTTTAGCAGCTTAAGCATCTCTAGTGTCTAATAGGGACTTTCTGCTTGTTGAGTAGAATTTTTAAAATATATACTCTTTCTCATAAAGGATATCTCATTTCTTAAATTCTATTTAAGAAAATAAAAAATAAGGGCAGTAGTTGGTGTGGTGGTTAAGGTGCTGGTCTTCCATGTGGCCAACTGCAGTTTAAGTACCAGACCAGGCGGTTTGCTTTCTTACTTTCCCTTTCTCTGCCATTGTCTCTCTTTGGTCAAATTTTAAAAATAATAATAAAATTACATTAATAAATAATTCTATAAAAATACCTTTAATCATATAATAGAAATAGTGGTAGTACATAAGAATAGTATTTATCACAGTCTTATGATTATTTTTTTTCTAGAAATTTTTGCTATGGGGGTGAATGTGCTTGCCATAGTGAGAGACAGAAAGCAAGATATCATTCCCCAGGGAGGTTGGCCACGCCATAATCTCTTCTCCTTCATTCTCCTTTTGAGAATTTGGATACATATATATCCGGCCTGAGTTTTAAGCTGCTGGGTCTGGGACTCAAAATGCGGTAGACTATGGGAGTCCAGTGATGTAACCATTACGCCATGTGCTGGTTCCCAGTGTCTTATGATTTTATTGCTGCTACATAATCTTCTAAAAAAAAAAAAAATCACAGCTGCCTCAAAGAAGTTACAGGAGACCAAGAGCATACTAAAAATACTTTATTGCCATTGCTAAATGCATTAAATCTACATTCTAAATGAATTATGCTATATATTGATGAAATACACAGAATATTCATCAAGGTAAAAAATACCACATCAGATGGAAAGATAGTGCACATAAAAATAAAAACGTTCTCAAATACTGTCATAACTTTACAATATACTATATATATTCTACAACCTTTCTATTAAACAAAGGGAGAGACTAATCTTTATACACAGTTTAGAGATTAAATGTCAAGTATTCTCAGAAGGAGAAAATATTAGCATCCTGGAATAATTTTTATTCCTGGCCCATTTTCGGCCCACTGGAAAAAATTGCACTGTTTTTCCTTCCCAAGAGGACACACAAAAAAATTCTTTCCATTATTAGGTCCAATCTTCAACACCGTTCTCATGATGGAGCGTTTGCCATGGTTGCAGAATGGGAAGGACAAATCTGCCCACTGCAGGGGAAAAAAGGTAAGATTATAAAGTTTATTCATAAATTACAAAGATGTAAGGGCTAAGGCTAGGCACACTAGATTACTGCCATTTTTGCTTCACTATTACTAACAGTTTGATGTTGTAAAACAGACATAAGTTGGTAGCTGTTTTTTTTTTTTTTTTGCTATAGGGCGCGTGCGCTCGCCAGACAGACAGAGACATAGAGACAGAAAGCGAGAAATCACCCCCCAGGGGGGATGGTCACACCACAATCCCTTCTCCTCCATTCTCCTCTCGGGATCTTGGGCACTCATGCACACGCGCCCAGCGTGAATTTAAAGCCACCGGGTCCGGGACGTGAACCTCGGTCGACTACGTGGGAGTCCAGTGACATAGCCATTACGCTAACTGCTGGTTCCCAGTAGCTGTTACTCTTAAAACACTTTATATCCAAAAGAAGTAGCTCTCTTACAAATTTGTTTGAATCACACAGAAAAATTCCGTAATTCTGAGCTGCTTTTGTCTAAAGGCATATTTATAAAAGTTACTCCACTTTATTAAGAATAAGTGAAAACTACAAGAATCTGGCTGGAAAGTAATCACTAGTATTCCAGCTATGTTTTAGTTAAACCTGTAGGATCAAAGATTTGTCATGATTCTAATATAAAATTTCCTTAGTCTCTTAGGAAATGAAAGAATCCAGTAAAGACTTACCTGAACTAAATTATTAGGCAGATTCCATTGTATTACTCTTTTTAATTTGGGCCTCAAGAGAACTATGAAACGAACTGTTATATTTTTAGCAATATTCTAAATACTGCTAGTAATATTTTTCCTTTTACATCTATAAAAGCTTCTTGAGGAGAAAAATCTAAAAAATTTAGTATAGCACCACGTTTTACATAGGAGTTGGGATGCTACCCTGGGATATTCCCATGTGGGTAAGCCTCTTGTTACCACCATGCCATTGTCCCACCTCAAAGATAGGAATTTTATCTCTCAATCAACCCAACCAGAAAATTTTTACTATAGTACTGAAACAGGTTAACATATATATTTTGCTATCTACCAGAAAAAGCACAAATCAAAAAAGAAAAAAAAATCTGTCTTTAAACATTAGAATTAAGTTCAGTATGGTGAGATGCTCACACTCTGAGGGAGGCAGACAGTGAGAATGACTCGGGGACTCCACATTCTTGTTTCCAATCTCAACTTTATTTTCATGGACACACACAGAGACTGGAGGGGCATGAGGAATCATCTCTAACAAATTACTCTTGGGTCACCACTTTTTTTGGTCAAGCTTGTGTAGTTGCAGACTCAGAGCATGCACACTGTTTTGTTCATGTACCTCTATCTAATGCCTAAATCAAAGGTTTTGATATAGCACTGAAGTTAGGAAGAGCAAATTCTTATCTTAGGTTTTTACCCATGTAATACTGGCACTTGCTAGACATTTGATTCCTTTTTTTCCTTCCCTGCTCCCTCCTTCTCTTTCTCTCTTCCTTTCTTTCATCTATTTACCTGGCATAATGCTTCATGAATATATATACTCATGATAGAAGAGTATGTGAGAAAGAGATAGGGAGACACAGAGAGAAACATACTTTCTGCAGAGCTCGGTCATGCCACATCCCTTTCTTCCAGTTCTCCAGACCACCAGGATCCTGGGCACATGCACACGTGCATGGAGTGTTTTCAGGTGGATCAGACTGGAGACTGGAACTTTGGGTGGTATGTGGCTTCCAGTTTCACGATCTGGCAAATTACTGCACCACAGAGGCTGGGTCCCCATATCTTTCTGTTTCTGTGAACCAAGGGTAATAATCTACCACTGTGGTTCCTAATAATCGAAAAGCTATTATTTTATTATTATTGTTGTTTATTTTGTGGAAACTTTTTGTGTTTTAAGTTATTCAACAGTCAAGCTTTAGAATGATTGTCAATATGGTTATTTAAAATTTAAAGGTAAGTCTGTAAGAGCATTGTTATTTGTTACATTTCAGTAACAAAAGTATTCAATTACACCATAGTAAGCTTGATAAATCTTACACCTACTTCAAAAAATCCACATTGTGCTTCTTTAGGTAAAGGACAAGCATAAAATTGCCTGCCCTTGTTTTCGCCATCCTTCCTGACAACTCGGAGAACGCAGAGGCGGTTGTGTTTACTGCAGCGAGGACTGCCAGCATTGAAGGTACTAGGACCATCTGTCATATTAATTTGAAGTTCACTGTAATGACAGGTTACAAAATAACTACAGCATAATAGTGCTGAAGGGATCATTCACACCACTTACCCCCACACATTAGATTTCGCGTGTACAAAGAAGTTATATTAAAAAGTGGACCATAGTCGACTTTAGGTAATTATATAAACTATTATCTTTTTAATTCTTTGTTTTCCCAGGTAATTTTAATTTACTACTAAAGCTACCTATGTACCTACAGCACATTATTTAAATTTCTAAAGAATAAAAATGGTTGGATTGGGTATCTAGTACATCAACTTTTTTTTTTTTTTTTTAAATTTCTGATAGTCAGTTCTTCTCTTTACCAGTATTACAGTGTGGCCACCTTCATTTCCTTGAAAATATTCTCAAGTCCAGCTGCTCCCTGGTCCCCAAAAGAACTAGGGTCACAATATGCTCTAATTATTTTCTTTTCAGTAGCAAGCTCTCACCAATGGCTCTGACAAGGCCATAGAGATCACTCTCTCTACTGTCCACTTTAAAGACAATTTTCTGTATTTTTCCTTTGATCAAAGCTTCTATAATAGTCGCAATCATATTCTAGTGAGAAACAGGCTGCCTGGCAGAGCAGAAATATGTATTTTATAAAGCTAGGAGGGAAGTTTTATTCTCCCCCACAATTAGAATCAAGAGTACTTGGAGGTCATTCCTGCGTACAATACAAATGCCTAAAGCTGACCTAGTACTATAGCTGAAGAGCAGAGTTTTCTCTTTGAAAAAAAGTTTCATCATTATTTTTAATTTTCTATATTTTGCATATTTTAATAACGCCTTTAAACATTAGTCTTTAATAGACTAGTTGAAGAAAGTGTTCACGGCAATTAAAACCTGAAGTCCCTCCCCTTAAAATGCTTATTTAAAAAATATAAATAAACAGTTCATCCTTTATCATTTTTGTAAATTTTAAAAGAATAAAATATCATTCTAAAATAATTTTTGAAAATACTTAGAAATCAAAGTCATTTTCCTTTGCTTCTTAAATTGCATTTATCACATACTTCTATATGATGCCTCAGGACATCATATCTAATTGAAATGCTCAGACAATATGATCTTTTATTTGCTGTGAAATTGGTATAAACTTGTTTATAAAACAAATGCTTTAAAATACAATCCTTTAAAAAATGTTTGGTAGAGGGTGGCAGTTAAGGATCCTACACGGTTGATTGCTCAGTTTGAGTCCTGGACGCTGCTGCTTGAAGGACACTCTGGGTGTGTGTGCGCATGTGTGGCCAAAACCCCAAAAGAGAAAAGGAGAAGGGATCTTGGTGTGACCAGCCCCTATGGGGTGGGGGTGAGTGCTTTCTCATCTTCCTTCTTTTTCTTTTGTCTTTCTCTGGTGAGTGCAAGTACCTTTTAGCAAGTAAAACAACAAAAGTTTGAACTGACCACTAGGGACTCAAACACGCCCTTAAATTAGGGCAGTTTTTGAAGCTGTTTGTACAGCAGCAGCCTTTTGTAAAACAAGAGCAGGCAAGAGCTGGGCATATTGTACATTTTCTTAGATATTGCTAAGGAAAGCATTACAAATAAATATTTCAGTGTAATACACAATCAGAAATAGGCAAGCCAAGAGGCAATGAGCTTTTCTTTTCTGCAGCATTTCATTTGACCAACACTCTGCAAAATAGGTGATACTTAAACTTTTAACTCCAAGAGAAGCTAAATATTTGGATAGCTGTAGAGAAGAGATTACAAAATTGAGGCAAGTGGTTCACAACCAGAATTTACTAAAAAAAGTGAATGTTAAGAATATTAATAGAAAGAAAATGAGGCTAACATACGCACACATAAAAAGTTTCACACATTAACCTAAAGATGGTTAGGTTATCTTTGATAATGATTAAATATTTTTTAACCTACTTGCTTCAACATAGAGATCTCCAGGGTTCCACATGCCCAGGGAATTTAGATTCTCTTATAAAAACTTTTCTGGGGAGAAGGGAAATAGGGAATGCAGGGTTAACGTGGAAAAAAAAATGCCCCAATATGTTGCATTTGGTTGATTTCTGTCTTTCATTCCATTTTTTCCTCGGTGTAAAGTTATAGTAACAGACAGTCAAATGCTATCTTATCCTTGGTACTCAAGACTGTGATCCATTGACCAGAGCATTTTCATTACCTTGGAGCTCATTAGAAATACAGAATTATCTGCCCCTGCTCCAAACTACCTACAGAATCAGAATCTGTGTGGTAACAAGAGTCCCAGTAAATCATCTGCACATTACGTTGTGAAGCACTGGGTGAGTTAATAAAACCAAGAAAGACACTGATGCCACCTTTGATCATATCAACTCTAAACAGAACAGTTAATCGTATGATAAAAACACATGATCCAGGATAATGAAATGTTCTGATTAATTGAGGACATCATAGTTCCTTTTTGTTTCAATCATTGTTTCAAAATTTTCTTTTCTATTCTTTTTTATTTTTGGAGAGGTTTTGACCTTACAGAGCATTTGCTTGCCAGAGAGGGGGGGAGGGGGAGTGAGAAATCATGCCCCAGGGGAGATGGCCACATTGTAATCTCTTCTTCTCCATTCTCCTCCTGGGATCTTGGACATGCATGCACACACATCGGGCGTGAATTTTAAGCCACTGGGTGTGGGACTCGAATCGCAGTCAGCTATGTGGGAGCCCAGCAACATAACTGCTACACCGCCTGCTGGCCCCTCTTTTAAAAAACTTTCTAAAAATGTAGCTGAGCACTTTCTCTGGTAAATATAGCATACAGAGTTGTTTAACATATTTTTATATTTAGGAACATTATTTTAAATGTTAATACTGAGTTATAAATGGCCTAATACAATAGAGCAAGGGCTCCAGATACGGTGCACAGGTAGTGTCATTGCTTGGGAAGATGAAGTCACATGGGAAGTACAGGTTTGGTTCCTGGGCCAACCTGAACATGCTGGATGTGCCTGTGAATAAGCCTGGCTAATTGGAAGGCTGGACAGGAGACACAGAAAGGCCCTTTCAAAAAGGCCACTCTCTTGTCTTTCTCTCATATAAAGGAAAAAAAAACATATATATAGATTTATAGATATAGATCAAGGGTTAGTAAACCTTGACAGGTAACACATACTTTAGATTTGTGGGTAGTATGGTTATGATTGCAACTACTCAATTTTGTTTTCTGCAGCACAAAAAGCAGCCATGGAAAATATCTAAACAAAGAGAAATAAAACCATATTTACATAACCAGGTGGAAGGCTGGATTTAGTATTGCTGACTGTCGTTTGCTGATGTTGATACCATTATAACCAAGAACAATGCTTAAGGCATAATAGGTTCTTTCCCCCCCCTTTGGAGAAGTTTTTGCTATAGGGCATATACGCTCCCCAGAAAGACAGAGAGAGAAAGCGAGAAATCACTTCCCCCCACCCCCCAGGAAGGATGGCCATGTCACAATCCCTTCTCCTTCATTCTCCTCTTGGGATCTTGGGCACGCACACACATGTGCCTGGCGTGAGTTTAAGCCACTGGGTCCTGGACTCGAACTGTGGTCAACTATGTGGGAGTCCAGCGACGTAGCCATTCTACCATCTGCTGGTCCCCACAATAGGTTCTTAATAAATGCTTGCTAATTAATAAACAAAATAATTAAAACAAACAGAAATCAGATTAAAAACTATCATTTAAAACAAAGACATTATCAAGCACTGGTTTGTGATGTTAGAGTGAATATTTTTCCAATGATCAATTTATCATGGTTAGTTCTACAAAAGGGTGATTCATTATGATAAAAATATTGTCTAATTTTTTTTAATTAATCAGTCATATGGAATGTAGATATTGTCTAGGAGTACTTTAAGAATTAAAACAAACAAAGAAAAATGACTCATCCTGAATGGTCCCAGGTGGTTCTAAAAGCCTTAGGGACTAAAAATTCCAAAAGATCATCTAGAAACAAGCACAAGGAGCCACTGCTTACCCAGGTGCTTAGAGCAAGATCTACAGCACCTTTCTCAAGGAACATGAGAAATTAACAATTTTATTAGTGTCATTTCACTTTTCCACATGAGTCTGCATCAATCACAAAAATATGGCCCTAAAATTCATGTGTTATTTTTCAAAAAAATTATACAGGATCTTAAAATGTCTCAATGTTTTTGCCTCCAGCTCCCAGCTGGTTCTGCAGGTGAGTACCAACATGCCCAGCTCTTTTTCAGACAGTCTCTCTATGTTGCCCAGTCTAGCCTTGAGCTTATATTCCTACTGCCTCCACTCCCCTGAGTAACTGGGACTACCTGTACACACCACCATGCCCCAGTCTCAGGTTTTACAGAAAATGAAATCCAGGCCTCTCATGCGGTCCCAGCCTACAGAGCCTAGTGTCTTAGTAGAACAAGCTATTGCAGCTGGGTCATGCATGCATGTTTTGAAAATGTATCACTATGTTTTGCTCTATGTTTACAATAATTGTATCAAACACTTAATATTGTTTCTAGTAGTTATTTTGAACTGCTTAAAAATTTATAACCCAGTACCTGGGAAAAATTCATGCATATCTGAAGACCATTTCAAAACCATGTCTCATTAACATAGCATGTACTGTATAGTAATGAGATCAGTAGTTAAAAGAACAAAAATCAAATTAATTACTATATAATTATTTTAAAAACTGGCTATAGATTCTGAGTGGACCACCGGCTTTAATAGCATTATGTTGTGAGCTTCTGCTAGGCATCTTGTCCATAAGATAAACACTGTAGCTGCCAGACAACGAGAAAAATGAAATAAATGACAGTAATTTGCAATTTATTCCTTGTAAAGTAGCTGGGTGCAGAAGGGCTGCTGGGTGAATTTATTTCATCACTTGACATTTATTCTGCTAGTTGATCTTGATTGATTGTGGAGTCTCAGTCCTGGTGTTCTTATATTCAATACATACACATGCTGCAGCATTTCTAAGTAATGCTGTGCACTGTGATTAATCGTATGATCCTATTACTAATGGCTTGTGAAGAAATCATTTAAATTTAAGGTTACATTAATGTTTTCTTAAATCTCTAATTCATTAGTTAAATTGTCTGAGATTTTCTACAAAGCGCTAAGGAAATAAAAATATGCCAAGATATTTCATCTTAGTACAACGAATGCCACAATATTTAAAAATGATCACTTCTACTTCTTTCCACTTAAGCCATAGAACAGAAAGCTGTTCAAGATCATTTTCTCCTACAGGATAGCCTCTCAACTCTGACACTCCTAATTAACTCCTTCATGAACATTCACCATGAGGCATTAATTAGGGTTAAAGTGGAGCTGTAGTATATTTTCATATACTCAGTTAAAGGTTTGGTTCCCAAAGTTTAATTTAAATGTGAATATCACGGACAAAAGGTAAACCAATTATCACAAGTGATAATGTACAAAGTAATTTTTAAAAAATCAGTGAAGGATAAAACACCTGTTTGGGTTGATAGTAAATTTAAACTTAGGATAGAAAACATGAGGAATGCATCTTGTAAACAAAAACTGTCTCGGGATTGTTATGAAGCAAGTTTTAAGGATTACTAGAGGTGGGTCTAGGAGTGTACACCAGGGGGTCCCTTATCCTACCACCCAGAGGTGGGATCTCCCCTCAGCAAAGACATAAGAGGAAAAGCTAAATTCAGAATTCCGCCTAACCTATTCTTTGCTTGTCTCCCCTTGGCAAAAAAAGACATACACAGGAAGATCCTTCGTTCACATGTTATATATTTTTCACTTAAAAATTCTAACTATAAATAAGCACATCCTTTCCAAAGGTGGAGTGGGGAAGTAGCTTGGAAAACTGGAGAAATATCTCTTTCTATTGGAGGTATTTCAGGTTGCCATCGGAAGCCAGATAAAGGGATGAAACAATGTGAAGAAAGGAAGGTCAACAGAAGATTGATTCAGGAGCTGCCAGTGCCCATTAAGGAGAAAGGAATGATACCGTATATTAACATTCCTGTGGCCCTGGCGACAGGAACTGGGGGATCTTCTCCTGGACAGGTAGCTACTGGTCTCATAAAACATATATGGCCTGGTAGTACTTATGAATTGAAATTACAACTTATAATTTGATATACCAAAGAAACAGGAAGGTTCTTTGGGGCTTTTTGGCTGAAATAAAGAACGCCATCCTCCATGGCTGTTTGGAATGCAGCCATACTCTTTAACAGAAAAATCACTAAAGGCTTCTTAGATTGCTCTCTTTAAAATAGAGGACATTAACTAAAAAAATTTTTAAAGAATTATTTAATTTCATCCTTATTATATTTTAATTTGACCACAGAGAGATGAGGATAGGGGGAGAAAGAGAAAGGGGGAGAGAGAGAAAAGTTAAGTGAGAAAGCAAGCCGCCAGGTCTGAGACTTGAACTGTGGTCAACCTTTTAGGAGTTCAGTGCCTTTACCACCATGCCAGCTGCCAGACCATTCACTAAACTTTTATGAATGATAGTTTCCCATTTAGAAGAGCTACTGGAAGGAGATACTTTAAAATGCTAACAATTGTTACTAAATAATAGGTATGATCATGGGTTAAATATTTTTCCAATGTTTTCCAGCTTTTGAGTATTGAACATATATATGGTTAAAGTTAGGGAAAAAATAATGCTTTATAAATGCAGGAAATTGTCTTTCATTTCCTTCCCTTCTTTAACATTATGAGTCAGAGAAGGGAAAAGAGGCAAATTGCTTTAATAGTCTTTGAGTTTGATTTATGTTACCAAAATCAATTCAGCTTCTTTAGCAATGGGTGATTTTTCTGCCTTCTTACAACTTAATGCAAATACCTTAAAGAGTGAGGATAGATGCATCATACCTGTTAGAAAATCCAGGGTTATACCTTTTGAGATCTGGTGATGAGTAATGGGTTGTTTTAAATTTTTTATGTGTGGGACCAAATACTTTAGACTGAGAGCAGACTGCAGGTGATATGTTTACTTTGTTAGATAGTTGAGCTATATAATTTGTTCTCTCCTCGGAGGGGTGCTGTGTATTGTCACTAAAACAAATGTTAGTAGGAGGAGAATTCTGAAATTCCTCATCCAGTATCTGGTTTGGACTTTTTTTTCTTTCTACAGTATTGGACTTATTGCTAAAATCAGTCAAGACAAGTGTTGTAGTTCCAAATGCAGTTTTCCTATTGATCTTCATTTCTGTATGTGGTTTTCCAAAGTTATTACAAGGGTACTTCATTAAGTTGTTAAAGACAGTAGAATTTTCTTCATTCTGGGGTGTTGAATCTAGAAGGAAAGAGAAGTAAATCTGCAATGTTCCTATAAATATAACATATCGACTATTTGAAACATCTTTCTATTTAATTAAAACTTTTAGCCTAATAAATTTATATTCAGAATAATACAATGTTACATTGGACAAGTCATAACTAATCATCTGGCTTAGAAAATAAAACATTTAGCATGCATGATTTCAACGACTTGTATGGATGCAAAGATGGGTTGAATGATGATTTTGATTTTTTTGAGAGGTTTTTGCTATAGGGCGCATGTACTCGCCAGGCAGATTGAGAGAGACAGAAAGACAAAAAGTAAGAAACCACCCTCCAGGGGGGGATGGCCACACCACAATCCCTTCTCCTCCATTCTCCTCTCGGGATCTTGGGCACGCATGCACATGTGCCCGGCGTGAGTTCAAGCCACTGGGTCCGGGACTCAAACCACGGTCGACTACATGGGAGCCCAGCAATATAGCCATTATGCTAACTGCTGATTCCTGAATGATGATTTATATTTACTTCATATTATGCATTTAAAGGGCTATTTGGCTATCAGTTTTTGCTAATACTAGGCAAAGTATTAAAGCAGTGTTAATTTAGAGATGCACTCCCATGTGCCTTTAGATCATCAGTTAGAGACCTTTATCTAGTATCAGGAATGTTCCTGTGAATGACAATTCAAAGTGAAAAACTAAACAAATGAGTAAAGATTAATTATAAAGACAACATCTATGTAATACACTTCATCAAAATACTCTAGGATTTTAGCATCTGTACTATAATTCATAAACTGTAGGTAAGATATATGTCTTTCATACTCAGAAAATTTAACTAGGAAGTAGGTAGTGAGGCATGTAAAGACATTCCAGAATGTTGAAATAACTGTGGAAACCTAAGACTATGGTTTTCTGAGGGTGCTCTCAACTGAATGATATTGCGGGACGGGTGGAAACAGGAAGAACAGTCCCTTCTGCTATTAGAAAAGCTGAGCAAGGGGTGATGCCCACTTTCTGGCCCAGGAAACAAAACACAGTATGACAGCTACCACAATATAGGGGGCTATAAGTCAAGAATGAACTCTCTCATCTCTAATTGAAGAAAGAAATACCACTTTGAGAACACAATAGAAGCCACGTCAGTGAGATGGTTCTTAATCACAGGTTTCCTCTGAGGTTTTACAATCTCTGAACGCATGAAATTGTGAGCCATAAAGAGTTATTTTGAAGGATTTCAATGAAATCAGTACAATTGTCTGGGTAAAGATTTTAATAACAAGGGGTAGGAAGGATAAAGAAGAGAAAAAAATTCAGCATTTTTCTATTCCACCTGCAAAGATATTCTTACAGAAATCCTCCCTTTCAATTTATGAAACACTTGGACTGAATAACAAACTCAAAAGTTGCTGAAATCTGCATAAAACAAAGCTTTATTGAATAATTCATTAGAAACAGTAGAGAACAGATGTGATCATCTCGGTTTTCTGAGATACAAAGGCACGTACTGTTTTAGCAGAAGCATGTTTTCCCTCCCTGTTTAAAAAAAAAAATACTCAACAGAATATTAGCGTGGTTTATAGGCAAAGGCTGGCAATTCCTATAAGCCTCTTTGTAAGGAAGTATTTTTAATTAACTATGAAATATCAAGGCAGAGCAAGATACATACCTGACTTTGTATGAGGGAAGGGTCCTCGATAAATTCACAGAAAGTGAGTTCCATCTGCAACCTCCTGGCCAGTCAGGGAAACTGAGGCAGGGCCTTTCACTGGACCCGACCCCAGCCCAGCTCTCCTAACCTCAGAGACATCCTCCTCCTCCCCCCACCTCCAGAAAGGTAGGTAGGCTGCTTTTTTTCTTCTTTCTTTTGTTAATTTCCTACTTTTCCTCACTCCTTTGGGCAGCCCCTAGCTCTCCAGCAGAGCCCAGTTCCATCTGCAGTCCCCTGGAGAAATTGTGTGCCACCCTTATGCACAGTGTGCTACCTTTTCTTTCTTTCATACTCTTTTTTCTTCCCTCTTATATTGTCAACTTCTCCTCATCCTCCACCCACTCAGAGGGACCAGACAGGTCTAGAATCATAGTTTTCAAATACCCTTGTATTGTGAGGTCTCCTGGGACCCTCCTGGGAGAAACTGCTCTTCAGACATCTGAATAGAAGACTCTCCCTGTGTGGACCAAATTACTAAACACAGTAGAAGAGAGATTCAGCCCACATCAATCCACAACAAAAGGGAATCAAACTAATTCCCAGTGCCAGAAACATTCTCCAAAAAGGTATTCGAAAGTTAATAAAGCACCCAATGGCTAGAAGTAGGGGAGCCTCAGATTTGAAGAAACTATATCTTCATCAAAAGAAAACAACTACTCTCCATCTTTTGAAAAAAAAGAAGAAGCTACCAAAATGTCAAAGAATTCAGAACATTCATAGCGACAAAACTCTATGAGTTGGAACAGAAAAGAGACAATGAACTCCAGGAGATGAGGAAGTCCTTCCATGATTTGAAAGAAGAAATGGACACCATAAAGAAGAATCAGATGGATCTATTAGAGATGAAGCTTGTAATACAGGAAATCAAAAATTCTCTTGAAAGTATTAAAAGCCAATTAGACCATCCTTAAGATCAAATCTCTGACGTAGAATATAAAACCTCTGACCTAGAAAAAATAACAAAAAGATAGAGAAAACAACAAAACAAAATGAATACACAAGAAATACTAGATTCCATTAAATGTCCAAACATCCAAATAATTGGTATCCCAGAAGGTGAAGAAACTAATAAGGACATGGAAAATCTATTCAATAAAATTCTAGCAGAAAACTTTCCTAGTCTAGAGAAACACTCAAACATCTAAACCCAAGAAATACGAAGGACCCCAAATAGAATCAACTGAATATCTAAAAGGAGAAAGACTGCAACACACTAATTGTTGGAGACCTCAACACCCTTCTATATCCCCTGGACTGATCATCCAGACGAAAAAAATAAGTAAAGAGATAGAGGACCTAAATGATGCCATAATTTAAATGGACTTAACAGATGTATAGAACCTTTCACCCCAAAACCATGAGATATACTTTTTTCTCACCCCCACATGGAACCTTTTTGAATACTGACCACATGATAGGGCACAAAGCAAGCCTTTACAGATTCAAAGGCATAGAAACTATATCTAGTATATTCTCTGACCATGATGGAATTAAACTTCATATTAATTTCAAGAAAAATCCTCAAAAATACACAAATACATGTAAACTAAATAACTTACTCCTGAATGACTTCACAACTACTGATGAAATTAAGGCTGAAATCAAAAAATTCATGGAAGCCAATGACAATGAGGACACAAGTTTCCATATCTTTAAAACACTGCAAAAGCAGTCACCAGAGGGAAGTTCATAGCAATTAATACTCATAAGAAGAAGATGGAAAGAAGGCAAAAGGACCACCTAACATGCCTCAAAGAACTGGAAAAGTAACAGCAAAAAAATGCAAAAAAAGAAACTCCAGGAAAAAACAAATAATAAAGGTCAGAGCATAGATAAATTAAATAGACAATAAATGAACTATACAGAAAATAAATGAAAGTAAAAGCTGGCTCTTTGTAGATATAAGTAAAAATGGGACCAGCAGATGGCATAATGGCTATATTGTTGGACTCCCATGTAGTCAACGGTGGTTAGAGTCCTGGACCCTGTGGCTTAAACTCATGCCGGGCTCTTGTGTGCTCACGTGCCCAAGCTCCCCAGAAGAGAATGGAGGAGAAGGGACTGTGGCATGGCCATCCCCACTGGGGGGTAATTTCTCACTTTCTGTCTCTCTGTCTCTGTCTTTCAGTGAGCACATGCTCATGCATTTCTCAAATAATGAAGTAGGTGGTACTTTTAAAAACAAAACTAAAATATGTTTATTTGACTAAAAGGAGAAAAAAAAGTTATGCGGAAATTAGAGCACTAAAAGTAAACTGAGTTTTACATTACTTTGTGTGTTCTAAAAAGAAAACTTGATTATTTCTTTGTAGTACCTAAGAACTATATCAATTAGTTGATCTAAAAAAATGAAAAAAGAAATCTATCCTTGTATTATTCCCCTTCATTCAAAACTGTTTCATTATAGATATCTAACTAATACAGTTGATTAATAAACTATAAATAATAAAGATATATATATATATTTAAATTTTGGGTCATTTGGGGTAACAAAATTTCTTTAAAAAATTCACAGAAAGTATGTAGTATAAAAAAACTACACATGGATTCCAAATTTTTTACACCAAAATAAACTTGTACTTTAATTCCATTTTTCTAAGAACTTTTTGAAGTCCTCTTGTATAATTAGCCCTCCTAGAAATATCAAAATCTTAAAATCAAAATTCAGCCTTACCAGTAGGTCTTGAGGTCAAGCAAGCATCACAGGCCTTAGAAGAGGGCCTGTTTATTAGTGTACAGACCACACAGGTCCATTGCTCTTCAGACTTCCGAGCCACAGAACCCATAAAACCGTCCTTCCTACCGAATGTCCAACTCACAGTATTTCTAGTTGGCAGCTCACTGTAAAAGAATTTTTAAAATTAATAATTAGCATTGTTATTTATTCCTGTTTTCCACATCTGTGTATTTTATTGATAGAAACAATTATGGACCCTTTCAATATCCCAATGCCATTTATGATTGCTTAGAAGTTATAATTATCTTAGTGTAAGATGTTTTCACTTTGGCTCTGCTGATTGCTTTTGCTCAGTAATAACAATTTTATTTAGACATGTTGCATTTTTTTTTTAAAAGAGCAAGTTAATATTATTTATCATTATTATTATCTTTAAAATTTGCTACAGGGCATATGTGCTCATGAGAGAGCGAGAGAGAGAGAGAGGGAAAGTGGGAAAGCAAGCTACCAGGTCCGGGACTGGTACCACAATCAGCTATGGGGGAGTCCAGCACCTTAACCACCACGCAACCTGCTGGTTCCAGTTTCACGTTTTTATAAACCAATTAAAAATATCTGACATAATCATTAGAAAGCATTTCTCAAATAATATTTAAAATAAGTGGTACTTTTAAAAACAAAACTAATATGTTTGACTAAATCTGGAGAAAAAAAGTTATGTGGAAATTAGAGCACTAAAAGTAAACTTTTACATTACTTTGTGTGCTCTAAAAAGAAAACTTGATTATTTCTCTGTAGTATCTAAGAACTATATCAATTAGTTGATCTAAAAAAATGAAAAAAAGAAATCTATCCTTGTTATTCCCCTTCATTCAAAACTGTTTCATTATAGGTATCTAACTAACTAAATGAATAATAAATCAACCCTGATTTCTGGCCATAAATATAATCATGATTCTCTACCTAGAATTCTGCATTAACTATGTATTGTTACCCAAAATGACTTTTTAAAGTTCGGATGTGATCCTGCTCTCTAATGCACAGAAGTAGATCTATGGAGCACAGCCCGTGGTAGAACCATGGCAATACTGTGGATTCCTTTCATGAGTCCAAACATCAACACTGAAAAAATCTCTTCCAGGTAAAGGTGTTTAGATCTTCTATTTCAGAACATGAGTTCTTTGACTTTCAAAAGTATCCTTGTCCCCTGTAACATTTTGCTCCTTACATATAATTATACCAGTTTTTAAATTTGGGCCTGTCTGGTAAAATAATAAATAGCTTAAGAAAATCTGAAAGTAAGATACATCTCATTATGATTCTTTTATCTTGACTTTTAATGTCACTCAGTATTTTTTATTCCTGTGGAACACCAAACCTTTTATAGAATTTATTTACTTGACCTAATCCCTGCCCTCTACCAACTTACTCTGAAAGACAGCATGATGTATTTATTCATAATTAAATAAATACAATTTAAATGACCTTCAGAGATTCAACCTGCTCTAACTTTTCACTATTTTCATCTTCTTTTGTCCTATAGATTTCACTACTCCTAAGGGATGTTTATTGTTACATAAGGAAACTTTGGAAGCATTGTTTCCTTCTTGCTTCACTTCTTAATCAATCTCTAATAAATTCTTTCCAAGCTCCACTTAATATGTAACAAGAATCTCAAACTTAACATGTTACATTAGGCTGAATAGTGGCCTCCCAAGAACATCAGGCCATAATACCAGGAACCTATACTTTATGAAGAAAGAGGGCCTTTGCAGATATAATTAAGGATCTTGACATAGGAAGATTATCCTGTATTAACGGAGTACTCTCTTGATCTAATTACAAGGGTCCTTATAAGAGAGAGGCAGAGAAAGAATTCATACACACACAGAAAAGAAGGCAATGTGAACACAGAGGCACACAATGGACTGTGTTCACAAACCAAAGAATGCTGGCAGCCACCAAAAGCTGGAAGGAGCAAAGAATGGGTTTCACAGTAGAGTCTTCCAAGGGAGCATAGCCCTGTCCACACTTAATTTTGGCCCAATGAAACTGATGTTGAAGTGCTGGCTTTCAGAACTTGAGTGAATGTTTCTGTTGCTTTAAGCTACCAAGTTTGTCGTAATTTGTTACAGTAGCCACAGGAAAACTAGTATGAATAAAATTTGTGATCCTCCAGCTGGTAACTCTACCAGTTGGTTTCATGCCAGCAAATGGCATCAGCATGTGCTCAATTAATCAGGCCCAAAACTCTGGAAGTCATCCTTAATACTCCTTTCCCACACATCCCATCAGCAAAGTTTGCTGCAGAGGCAAATTTACCATGAAGCTAATGAAGCTCAACCTTCCATGGTGTGTTCTCCTCTATAGACTGGCACCAGCACCATGGAGAATGGAAGCAGTAATTCTAGCTGCAAACTGGAAGATGAGAACACTGCCAGTGGCTGCAGTCCTGGTGAGCAATCTGCTACCAGCACCACCTCACTTCTGCTCAGTGCAGAGACAATGTGTCCTGGCTACTTCAAGGATCTAAACAAGAGATGGTACTCTACTCCTGGCTCATGGGCCATTATGACCCAGGTTGCAAGGCTACTAGGCCCATATCATGCTAAAAAAAAAAACCCTAGTAGAAGTAGAAAATCTACAGCAGTTGAGGGAGATCAAGGGGCTGGAGTTCTCAAAGGAAGGTCTGCAGCCAGCAGCATCAGCATCATGTGGGGACTTGTTAGATTTGCAAGGACGCTCAGGCCCCTTACACACCTGCTGAATCAGAAACTCTGGGGGTGGGATCTAGTAAGGGCTTTAACAAGCCCTTCAGGAAATACTACTACATACTAAAGTGTGAGAACCCCTGCTCTAAGGACATCCTTACAGACAAGTAGTGCTGAAGTGAGTTGTTACAGCAATACCCCTTCACAGTTCTGCTCTCTGTGGTGTCAAGTACCTACAGACCAAAAGTAAGTGATTAACTGAATACAGAACACTAAGATATCTTGAGAGAGAGAGAGAGACCACATTCACATAACCTTTATTAGTAGTACTGTTATTCTCTTTCTGTGTCTAATCTATAAATTAAACTTCATCATTGGTAAGTATGTACAGGAAAAACATAGTACATAAAGCACTCAGTACTGTGATTTCAGGCATCTACTGGGTGTTTGGAACGTATCACCCATAGATAAGGGGGGACTACATATAATGGAAGTTAAAGATGTGTCATTATCAACAGCTAGTTGTGAAGCTAAAAGAAAATTTTCTAATCTACCAATAATAAAAGAGAATAATACTGTGGGTGGTCATGTGACAAGGCACTCAAAGAGTCTGCAGTCAAATCATAGAAAAATGCAATTATACAGGGTGTCAGGAAGTGAAATCATATTATTTTTCTGGTGTCTGTGGGATTTAAACATTATAATTTACTGTGATTTTTTTGTTCTAAATATTCCCATTAGGACCTAAATTTGTACTCATAATTTTTTGTTCTTTTTCACAAAGGAGATTCCCTAACTATAACTTTCAGGCCTTAACCCTACTTCAGTTTCCAGAAACATCATGAAATCAACCACTGTTCTTACCCCTCCGGCTCTCTTTCCAGGCACTGTCATTTACTACCAGCTCTATGGCTGAGCTCTCAGGTATTGCTGTTTCATTCTGGTGACATGGAGTCACTTGTCCACACAGCAGCTCAAATAATTCTCATAAAATGCAAGGGAGTCCAGGTCACTCCTCTGCTTAAAACTGTCCAATGGCTTCTCAGCTATGAATTTATATACATATATACAGTACATGAACACACACACATATACATAGATAAACACATGTAGACACACACACATATACATATATTTTAAAATTATTTATTTATTTCCTCCATGAACAAGAGACAAAGAAAGAACGAGAGCAAGAGAAAGAACAGCACCCTCCACCAGGGCTGGGATGCCGTCCATGATTCACCCCAGCCCCAGTCAGCCTAACTTCAGGGGCCCAGTGCACTGGGAGGCCTCAGATGCAAACCCAGAACCTTTCATGTGGGTGAGCCTCACAGACTCGCATTTTACTGCTGTGCCACTGTTCAGCCCCACTGTTGATATAAGTGCTTTTGTATGTATACAGTAATTTCTTAAGAAGTCTTCTCACTAAAATATAGAAATATACCAGTATTTCACAAATATATATTTAATGAATAAATTCTGCCCCTACATATCTATTAAAACTACTTCAAAGGCAACACCTTGACTTCCTATAAAATGGCTTCCTGCAAGTCCCATTCTGTGTTGAATTTAACTCTCTACCATTTCCCTTCTTGATTTCTATGGCACTGCTTCTTCAACCTCTTTTGAGGATTCCTTTTCTTCTTTTGGTCACCGAGGTTAAGGTGATCAAAAGGCTCTCTACTGAACCATCCTCTTTTTCCCTACGTATTCTTTCAATGATTGCAAATACCACCAGGTTCAACTATCATCTCAGATTTCCCCATGGAGAAGAATGGAGAGGGCATAAAATACAAGTGGAAGATGACAGCATCCCTGAGGTGTCTTTGCACTTCTAAATGGAGACAAGTTACTAGCAAGGGAAGCAACTCACTTTTCTTTGTCCAAACAAAACTGATTATTGTTAAGTTACCAATTTAAGTGTTAACAAAACAAAGTTATGTAAAATGAAGTAGCATTTTAAAAAATGCTTAGATAAAAAGAACTTTTAAATTGCTGCCTAACTTCTATTTCAGTGGAATCAATTACTATTTCATTCAGTCTCCTCTGAATCCTTATTTTTGGAGCACAAATATTTTCTGGAAGCCCTCAAGAATATATCTGCTGAAACCAGAAATAATTATGAGGCCTGAATATTTTCTGGAAGCCCTCAAGAATATATCTCTTCTGCTGAAACCAGAAATAATTATGAGGCCTAAGATAAGAGGCTTACACAGGAAGCAGCTTTACTCTTACTACATGTTCTGCCTGTGAAGAGCCTAGACGAGGTCACTTTCATGGGTGCCAATCCCCAAGGTGCTGGTCCCTACAGTTTTCCCATCAATTCTGTGAATTGCTCTAATATTAATTTTGGCTACTGGGACTATAAAACTCCAGTTTATGATCATTTAAGCTGGGTTTCCTTCATCGTGGTCAAAAGAGTGCCTTTTAAAATATGTTTAAAGGGTTAGTTGGTGGCGCGGTGGTGAAGGAACTTGGATCCCACATGGCCAATTGTATGATACAAATCCTGGGTCCAGGAGCTTGAAAAACATGCTAAGTATGTGTGTACCCAAAATACCAAGAGGAGAACGCAGGAGCGTGGGGGAGAATTGTGCTGCAGCCATCTCCCCTGGGGGTACTGTCTCACTTTCCCTCTCTCTTACATTCTGGTGAGTGAATGTGACCTATAGCAAACCAGATAACAATAATAGTGTTTTAAAATTGGCAACTATGCAATCAGATTTTCTAAAAGAAGCTGGTCATACCAAGAGTAACCTATTGCAGGCTTTCTTCTTATTTCCTAAGACACAGCCCTCTACTCCATCCCTTCAAAAACGCATGCCATGCTCTTCAATGATTCAAGGTTTGTGACCATGCTCCTCCTTTCCAATTAAATAATGTTTTCTTTCTCATTTACTTAACCAAAATTTTGTTTTATTAAAGTAAATTTTAGATTACTCTTTCTTTATGAGCTCTTCTCAACTTTCCTGTATATATAAACCTCTAATCTCTTGTAGCATTTAATGTGCTTCATGTCTCTGCTGGTAATTTTGGCTTATAATCAATATACTACTACACAGATACTTCATACTGATAATCTTTCTCCTAGACTTCCCTGAAGGGACCTGGTATATTATCAGGATGACTGCATCGGGGGAAAGAGAAATAAACAAAATGTTGGGGGATTTACTAGATTGCTGTTCCGAACTGTCATAAATTTTAGGAGACCCAAAATATCATTGAGGTCCATCAGTCAGGATAGGTGACCAATGGAGTTTTAGTTTAAATTCATTACACAGTGGAACTCCAAACGAACTTGGTAGTCATTTCCCCAGTTTTAGAATGTATCAGTGGAAGAGACATACTGGTAGAATCATCACTTATGTTAATAAGTAATCCATTGTGTTACCAAGAAGACATAAATCCTGTGAAAATATCTTGCCTATGTTTTGTATTATTTTTACACGAAGTAAAGACTTTAGAAGATAGTTGCATTTTCCCAATTATTGACACTTTCTGGTACTCACTTTATAAATCAGATTAAAGCTACAGGCTGGATATATACCCAAGGTAGTGGTTTTCTACCTGGATTCAGCTGTTCACCAATCACCTTTGGTTCCTTCTAATTCTTTGATAATGTTATTTAGTATCTCCTTCCAAGGGTTCAAATACTTCTGAATTATGTTCCTTAAGAACAGCTTGACAGTTATTCAATCATATTCTCTAACTATTGGTTTTTTAGTTAGATAAATGAAGCAAAAGTATCCCTTTAAATTAGACATCTTACCATATGTTAACATGTTGAGGATTTTCTTTTTGACAGTGCGGACAGAAATATGTCATTCTGCTATTCTCTCCTAAGCGACACACAGTTATTTTGCAGTGGCATTGACCACAATTAGAACGTTTATAAACCTTATAGTGTTTAGAGATAGCAGATCCTGATTTACGACACTAAAAACAAACAAAAAAAAAAGTTATTTACAAATCAATGTTGCTAAGAAGCAAAAGATACATTCTTAAAAGTCATTTCTGAAAATAATCTGTTACAAATTTACATTTATTTGTATATGTCCATATATTCTCTTCTTTCATCTGAGAAAAAAGATATTAAAATAATTTAATAATATTGATCAAATAAGATCTGTGGGAAATAATTCAGGCATTATTTTATAGCTTATTAGTATTCAAAATTCTTCACATGCTTTTACCCTTTTATCTAAATGAGATATAAAAGTTCTATATATATAGAATTTTTATACTTTCAAGGTTTTTTTAATTAAACATAATTATGTGGTTATAATAAAATGAATAGATTAGCTTTAAATCTGATTTTTTTAGACACTGAAGCTGCTCACTCAATTTTAACAGTCAGAAAACTCATTTCTAGGAGAAAAAATTTAATACGGGCATGTTCTTTATTGGCCTAAAAAAAAGACAATGTTTTCTATTTTAGCTTTGGACAGTCACTATAAAATAAAATAAAATTGAAATACCATGCTAGCAGAGAATGCATATTGGTATGTAATTTCTATGTTAAAATTTCTGTCATCATATTTTAGATATTTTCTGTCAAAGTTTTATTCTATTCACATACATTTAATGCTCCTACAAAGGGAATATTTTTGGTTTACACCAGCAATGTTAAAGTTTAAAAGCACAAGAATATAATTTACATATTTGAGTTGAGAATTCCACAAATACATTAATTTAAACAAAATATGAAAGTACCTAATTGAATCTGGGCAGAAAAATGGGCAGTTTTCTATAGTTACATTTACTGGGAGAATAAGGGAACCTATGTAATTTAAAGATAGTTATAGTTACCCAAGGCACATATGTAAAGTAAGAGATTTGTTAACACTTTAGGCCATTTAAAATGAACACCACAATAACAGCCTTTGTGAACATAGTAAAAATAAGAATTTTGAATAAAGAAAATGAATTGAGGAGGATAAATCCCAAACATATATATGGCACTTTGTTTAAGAGATAAAATATATTTACTGAACTCTAACTCTATAAACACATATTAACAAGTTTCAAAAGTTAACAAGTACATATTTCATTTTCAAAACAATCTTTGTGGTAGACAGAGAAATAATTTATCCTATTTTACAGGTGCAGAAACTAGGAATTTTTTTTTTTAATTTGTCAGCGTGCACATGTGCTCACCAGAGACAGAGCAAAAGGAAGAGGGAGAGGGACAAAGCATCCTACAATGGGGCATAGTCGTGCTGCCATCACTTCTCCATTTCTCCACCCAACAGTATTTTGGGCATACATGCATTTGTGCCTGGCATATTTTTCAAAATGCTGAGGACAGAATACAAAATGTGTGGCCAGCCATGTGGGATCTAGTTCCCTTAATCACCAGGCCATGGGGCCAGTCTGAAGAAACTAAACATAAATAAAGTTATCTAAATAATCTAAGCCACACATGTAATAATGTACATGGCAATGCCTAATTGAACTAGGATGTATTTATCTGCAAATACTAGTTCAATCTCTCTGGGCAGTCTATAGTTTATATATCTACAAATAAAATAAGAGTCTAAGTACAGTGCAAACATAACTGCTCCCCACCTTATTATAAAGATAGTATAATTACAGTTAGGCAAGTTTGTACTGACCTATGATCTAGAATTTCAAGATGTTAATTATGTTAATTATTGTACCTTTATACTCTTACCACTAGATGCTATGATCTAGAATTTCAAGATGTTAATTATGCCCAAGAAATACCACTCTCTTATTGTACCTTTATACTCTTACCACTAGTTTGCTATGTAGAGCTTTTCTGGTGCAATCAAAAGGGAATGCGTTGACATTTTACATAGTTGAACATTTTTACCCTTACCTTGTAAAACAGGATGCTGAAATCACGTATCATTTTTACAAGATGTTGGGTCTGTTCATCTCTTAACTGACAAACCTTAAAATGGAAAACTGATTAAGTATGGTTTCATGATTTGTTTATTAGTATAAAAAAAAAAAATTCTATTTGCCAGTTCTATTAAAGAGAACTATAAACAAATTTAAAATACATGCACACTCTTTAGAACTTTATTTCTCATATACCCATTGTCATTAACAAAAGTTTTACTTCTAATTGATAGTACTAATGATAAAAAATGATTATTTATAAATGTTAATTGTAAATCGAGTATTGAATATTTATTACATATCAGATATCTTCAAAGTCCCAGCATTTTCTATCAGCCATTTTGAAAAGTCTTGGTAAGTTTGAAAAAAAAATTAAAGAGAAATAATACAAAAAGAAAGGAGGAGGGAAAAATAAGCACAAGAGTAGGTGACCATCTAAGTTGCTATAAAACTTTGGGAAAAAAACATAAATTTATATAGATGCATTACTATGAAAGTCCTTGTTAACATATGGAGGAACTCAGAAAGAGACCTTACTGAAGAATTTTTTGTGAGAAAGCCTGGCATAAACATCAGTGTTACTCTTGCAGAATGAATTATCATTTGGCATATGTGCTTTTAATGGCAATTCCAGAAGAAATTATCTGATGCCTTACTCTTGTTGTGGGTGTTAAAGTTTATGTGTGTGTGTGTGTGTGTGTGTGTGTGTGCGTGTGCGTGTGTGTATTTAATTTATAAATTCTATACACATACACACATACAATAGAAAGTAATTTATCAGTGACTATAAAAATAAAAAGCATCTAATCAACATAATTATTCTGAAGTATTAAAAAATGATAATTTATTTAAAGTTTAAAACTTACATGTGTCTAAAACATTTATTTCTTGCCATATCTTTTACATTATGTTAAGTCACCATTAAAATGTTAAACTGTACTTTTCCAGTAAGTATCTATAAGCTTTCAGGAGGCTAATAAATAAACTTGAGAAATATCATCAATTTTTAACAGCCCCCATTCCCTCCCAACATTATGATTAAATCATCTTTTACTAGCTAAATGGCTGACTGGATGTACAGATAAAAAGTAAATTCTCAGTTCACCACAGATAACAACAATACTCTGGGTTCCTTTTTTCAAAAACATTTTTAAAAGCTCTTTGTGGTTAAAATTCTGTTTCATCATTCCTATATTGAACTAGCTTGCTCCAGCTGTCTAAAAGTAGAACCAAAAATCTAGAACTTTCATTAGCTGGTTTCTTTCAAAATTTAATTCCAAAATATTTTATCAAAAGTATGCAGCAAGTATATACACAGAATAAAGGTATTTTGGGATTTATGTAAAAAAATAACTGAGAGATTTACTTATTATATAAAATAGAATTTAGTTCATAGAAATAATTTAATTAATAGGATTAAAAAATAGTTAATAGTGGGGTTGGCAAGTGGTATGGTGGTTGAAGGTGCTGGACTCCCACATGGCTGACTGGTTTGAGTCCTGGACTTGGTAGCTTGATTTCTCACTTTCCCTCCCTCTCTGTCTCTCTCTGGTCAAACTGAAAATAAATAAATAAATAAATAAATAAATAAGATAATTCTTAAAATAGTTAATAATAACAAATCTAGATAAAAGTTCTAATGCAGAGTTATTCCCTAGAAGCTAAAATATATGTATTCTACCTGGGTTCAGGTTCCAACCTTTCTGACATTAATCATCCTTCTCTTTTCTATAGTTTTAAGCTCTTGCTCTTTACCAGATTTTTGTTTTGTTTTCTTTGTGAGACATAAGTTCAAGTCTCTCCAGTTGAAAAAGAAAGAAAAAATGAAAATTCATTCCTTGCTCTGGTTTTCTCTTTACCGCATTCTTAGCTATTTGTTTTGTTTTGTTTTGTATTAGCAACAAGGGTGGGTGGGGGGAGGGAAGGGAGAAAGAGACAGAAAGAAAAAGCACCGCCCACCAGGCATGGTCATTGCAACAATCTCTTTTTCTTCATCTTACCTTTCCTTTGGGATTTTGAGCCCCCATGTACACATGCCCAGCATGTCTTTCAAATCACCCTATCCAAGACTGAAACCACACAATTAGTCCTGGCGGAATCTAACTGCCTTAATCACCACACCATAGGCTGGCGCTAATCTAAGATATTTGAAATGACTCTAAATTTTGCTTCCAGAATTTCTTACTTATTTACTTAATCCCTGCTACCTGACTTCCATTCTTGTCTTTCCACTGAACCAGCACACTCTAATATAACCAATAGCTGAACATAAGAATATATGAGTGAGTGTAGAATGTGTATTTAATGCCAGATAGAAAAAGAAGCTTGTGAGTTTAGTTCACTCATACATTCCACAAATATCTCTTTTATGCCTCCCAATTGCCAGACACTGTGTAAGAGATATTTGGACACATCAGTGAACAAAGCAGATAGCTACTCTTTATTAGAGATTGAGTTCTAGCAGGAGGAGGCATATTTTGAACAATAAATATAGTAAGTATTATGTTATATTTAAAAGACTAAAATGGTATAGAGAAGATAATAAAAAGCAAACCAAGGTAAGGAAGGTGGGAGTGGGAAGAAGGGTTGCACGCCCCAAGTTTAAGTAGGGTGGTCAGAGCTGGCTGTATTGAGATGTTGACAAAATCTAAGTCTTCCCAGAACAGCCCTTCTTCAAGAGACAGACAGCTCCATGGCTCCTGTGATCTAGCCATTTGGGGAGAAAGGAAGATGTCCCACTGATAACTGGGCCTCCAGCATCCAAAACTCGCGTGATTGAACTTCCAAGTTTGGGAAGAAACCGATCATCCACCAGATGACTAGAAATCGCTGCAGGACCACAAGAAATATGGGGAAGCAGGAAAATACCTCTCCCACAAGGGAAAAGGATAGCTCCTCTTTATCCACACACAGTTCAATGGAAATCATGGAAATGTCTGATAAAGAATTCAGAACATTCATAATGGCAAAGCTAACAGAGATGGAAGAGAAGGGAGACAAAGAACTGCTGAAGAGGAAGGAGAAAGGAGTTGAAGAGTTCCAGGAGGTGAGGAAATTCATGCTAGATCTAAAAGAGGAATTTCACACTTTACAAAAGAATCAGATGGAACTGTTAGAGATGAAGGCTATAATACAAGAAGTCAAAATCTCCCTTGAAAGTATTAAAAGCAGACTAGATCATACAGAAAATAGAATCTCTAATGTAGAAGAGAAAATGGTTGGCCTAGAAAAATCCACCGCGAAGACTGAGAAAATGGCCCAAAAATTTGAGAATAATATGCGAGAAGTACTAGATACCATCAAACGTCCAAACATCCGGATAATAGGCATCCCAGAAGGTGAAGAGACTCATAAGGGCATTGATAATCTATTCCATGAAATCTTACAAGAAAATTTTCCAAACCTGGAGAGGCACTCAAAGATTCAGACCCAAGAAATACAGAGGACCCCAAATAGAATCAACCCAAGAAGATCTTCTCCAAGACACATTATAGCCAGATTGACCAAAACCACAGACAAAGACAAGATACTAAGACTGGCAAGAGAAAAAAGGCAAGTTACCTACAAAGGGTATCCCATCAGACTAACGGCAGACCTCTCATCGGAAACAATGAGAGCGAGGAGAGAATGGGAAAATGTATTCAAAGTATTAAGGGAAAAGCAATTTCAACCGAGAATTCTGTACCCAGCAAGGTTATCGTTCATTTGGGAAGAAAAGACACGAACTTTCCCAGATAAACAAAACCTGAAAGAATTTACCAGCACCAGACCGGATCTCCAAGAAGTTCTTAAGGGAGTGCTATGTCAGTAAAATTAAATGCAGACACACAGAAATAAGAGTTCAGAAACTAAGAAAATGGGCAACTTAATTGTAGGGCCAAAAGCTGGAGTTGAGTATTATATCCCAGATTTCAATCTGGAACGTCGAACCTCAACAGATACAGAAGAAAGATTAAGTACATGAGACTGAACTGATGAAACAGTATTCTATGACTTGACTAAAATATTGCTGCTTTTCTTCTAAGCTTTGTTGTCCGGTTTTAAGGATTTTTGTCCTGTCTTCAGCTATCAATAGATTCATGTTCCTACTATTTGAACAGAATACTAACCTGTTTCTAGGCTTTAAGTTTCAAAGAAATATCCTTACCAGTTCAAAACTGCTTTTCTTGAAACCATCGGCTGATCTTGCTATTGAAAGTAGTTAGATTACTTATGATATTGTGTGATCAATGAAATGTTGGGGGAAAAGGGATTGAAAACAACTGTAGACAGCAGAGATAGTGTAAAAAGAGAGTAGAATAGGGCAGAGGGCTAGACATGGGGTAAAAAACATATATATGAAAGTAGAAATGGAATATTATGGATGATAACATGCATTATTAAGCCACTATGCAGTATATTCTAGATGGGAAACCACATTTAGAATGTTGTGATGATGCTCAGGGAATGAATGTAAATTAATAAAAAAAAATTTCAGAAGAAAAAAAAAGGCATTAGAAATACCTATTTGATGACTGCAGTTAAGCTATATAGCCCTAGTTAGGTGCTACTTTATAGTATGTTCATTCTATTCACTGAGGTTTGTTTATGCCTAAAGTCAGACTTGTGTTCATGGATATGTACATATCAGCTGTGCTTGCTATTGAAAATATTTAGATTTATTAAGATATTTAGTGAAACAATAAAATGGGGGAGGCATAGAAAGCAACAATAGATACCAGACACAGTGTGGGAGGAGGGTGGGAGATGGCAGAGGGTGAGATAGGGAATCAAAGATGGGAAAAAAGGCAAAATATACAGAAAACAATAAATGGAAAATGATTTGTTGACAATAAAAAAAAAAAAAATCTAAGTCTTGAAGCAGGACACATGATGCCTAAGAATGGGTTGCTGCAATACAAATTTAAGTGCTCTACGTTGGTCCCTCAATATAAATAGTATTTAAAAATAGAGAAATAATTAGAAAATACTTATAACCTACTTTAACAGCTGGGTGGAGGCTGCTGTCAAAGAGAGCTTCATTTTTGATGATGTTCCCGACCCCAGGCAACACTTTCTGATCCATTAACACATCACACAGCATCCGACCTTTCTGCTTTTTAACTTCACTTTCTGCTCTTGAGAAACTGAATTTCGGTGAACATACATCTAATTCTTCCATCATCCTTATTCTCTGCTGGCTTTCCATTGAGTTTCTGTAGAAAAGAATATAAAACACATGAATCATAAGTCTGGTTACGATTTCACAAAGTGTCATTTAAAATGAGCTTTGATATAAATATAAATACTTTATGTTAATCAGGGCCCGAGACGTATACAGGCAAAAGAAAAAGATCCTAACCAATTGTATTATTTGAAGATGCCTTTAAAATGAGGTTTCATTAATTATGAAATATTTATTTATGAACATATGTGACATCTAAACCAAACTGCAGGTGAAGTTCTACAATTTTGCAGCTTAAGTACTTTTATTTATACTTTCTTTTACCTGAGTTCTATTGATGAGTCAAAGAAACAAATCAAATCTTTGGTGAGTTGCAATTCGAAAACAGAAGAAACTCCATTTTTATTTTTGCGCTCAAGTGGATTAATCATGATGGAGCCTTTCATCCCAAAATGAATCCTGAAACAAAATCAAACCTATTTTTGAGAGTCATAAAGTATACCATGCATAAATTTTTTCCCTTTATCTCATTTTTTGGATTATAAGTAAACAAATATTAGTCAGGATAGGCACTTTTACAGGGTAAAAAAGTTGTAGTTAATATTATACTTTTTTTTTTCCTGATGGCTTTGTCTCCTTATAAGCTAGGAGATATGACAATCAGTTTTCAACTCAGAAATAAAATAACTTTCTAGAGAAATAATAAGGCCCTGACAATAAGCCCAAGAAAATATACCTCTGTTTTTTACTTCTTGTCAGATGAAGTATCTTTTATTCACAAAACAGTCTAGCATCTCTCGACATTTTCTCAGATTCAAAGCTTGGGATGAGATAAGGCTAAATTTAAATTGCCTATGGTTTGTGTTTTTCTAAGTTCTACAAAGCCACTAACATTCAAATTCCTTATTTCTCACCACAATGGGTATGAAATGTTTACCTATTGCAAAATAATATCTACAGTTTAAGATACTCTTTTATTTTCCTCCTGCTTTGAGCTTAGAAATGAAACTCCCCCCCCCAAAATCTTATGTATCAAACAAACAGACAAAAAAAGAGAACAAGTCAAAATGCTATTGTCTTCAGTTCTTTTCCTTTTACCTTTCTATGTACTGGGAAGAAGAAATTTATAAATATTTACAGTTAACTTTAAAGCTATAATACAGTGATGAAAAATTCATAACCTTTCACATTTTATATGATTGATTAGCATGTCCAGTTAAAAAAAAAAAAGAAGTGAGACCTCTGATGATGAAGATCAAAAATGATCCTCAAGATGAAATATTGTGTTCTGCCTTTCAAATCCCTCTCCTTATAGCTTTGTTGAGTTAATAAATATGGCTTTTGGCAGCAAACGTTACTGCTCTGTGCTTCTAATTCCAAAGCACCATGTTATAGTATTGTACAAGGTTAACCAGTCTAACTTTAAAAATGTGGGTTTTAAACTCTGTGTGCCCTACTATCAATCATAAATGCATTTTACATGCCCCATAGTTCTTGACAGGAAAAATGTGTGCCTGTAAGTACTCCATAATTTAGCTTATGCAGGTTCAACCCCAGTGAAAGGTGTACAACTGTCATGCCCAGAAGGCATCATATCTAAAATCTTTTCAGCTGCATGGCTCATAAAATGGATTCTAAATCACTTTCTATGATGAGACCACATCCACATCAAAACTCTTAAAGGTTAAGACCAAATTCAAATGCTGGAGTAGCCCCAATAAGAATCCTAAATCAAAAAGTATGCCTTTGTCTTATATATCTTTTTAGTTTAGGGGAACATATGCACAAAAATAAGTATTTAGTTTTTATTTCATTTTTATTAGTTTAATATTTTGACAATTTAGCCCCAACAAACCAAATAATTTTTTATTGCTAAAATACTTTATCTTAAACTACAAAAAAAACCCCAGTATCAGTATTTTTGAAGTGCAGTAAACATTTGTTTTTATAATAACTTAACATATTCATTTTTTAAAAGAATTATTTTACTCATCATTATTATTATTTTTTAAATTTGACCAGAGAGAGACAGAGAGAGAGAGGAAAAAGCAAGAAGAGCAAGCTACCAGGTCCAGGACTCAAACCATGTTGGGTCCTGTTGGAATACGGTGCCCTAACCACCACGCCACTTGCTGGCCCCCAACCTACTGATTTTTAAATATACTAGGACGTATGTTCAGGAAAGAGAGTTTAAGAATTTCATTTGCTTTTCAAGATTCCTCTTAATTAATCTAGTTTAGGAAACTTAGGTTAGAATCTGATTTCTATGTCTTGATCCTCAAGCTCCTTCTACCCCTAGCCCAAATGGTTACCTAAGACCATTCACTCTGCGTAATTTAACTCTGTCTGCCAATCATTGCTGTCTGGTTCAAGGAGGGGAGACATTACATTCAGCCTGGGCTGGTCTCTGTCTCTTTAGATTCTGTACTTTTGATACTGTTGATTTGGAAATGAACATCTGTCCCAGGTTGAATTCATCAGTTCTCCTGATCAATTTATGGATTTAGGAAACAGAGGGCTCAGTTTGATGTGAGCAATGGGAGATGAACGCAGGAGCGATCTATGAGAGTCTTTCCCAATGTGGGAATCAGAGAAGCCAAAGGCGGCCTACCTGTTTGCAGAGAGGAAGACTATATAGCAGGTTTCAGTGAGGAGCAGGGTCAAGAAATAAACAGAGTCCTGGGACCAGCAGTTAGCGCAATGGCAATGTCACTGGACTCCTATGTAGTCAACTACGGTTTGAGTCCCGGACCCGGTGACTTAAACTCATGCTGGGTGCATGTGCATGCGTGCCCAGGATCCCAAAAAGAGAAAGGAGGAGAAGTTATTACGGCGTGGCCATCCCCCTGGGAAGTGATTTCTTGCTGTCTCTTTCTGGTGAGCGCATGCGCCCTCTAGCAAAAACCTCTCCAAAAAAGAAAGAAAGAAAGAAAGAAAGAAAGAAAGAAAGAAAGAAAGAAAGAAAGAAAGAAAGAAAGAAAGAAAGTAAGTCCTAGTAGCTCTTTAAAAAATAATAATTGTTTAATTTTATTTATTATTATTGTTATTAAACTTGCTATAGGGCATGTGTACTCACCAGAAAGAGACAGGGAGTGAGAGTGTGAGGGAGGAGAAAGCAAGCTGCCAGGTGCAATATGCGAATCATGGTCAACCATGTGGAAGTCCAATGCCTTAACCATCACGCCATCTTCTGGTCCCCCAAACAGCTCTTAGTCTTTGCTTCCAGATATCTCTGAAGACTACTTACACTATCTTCAGGTTTTGTAAGACATCCCTTATCTTTTTTTTTTTTTTTTTTTTGAGTTTGCCAATTTGCCAGAAGGCATGTGTGCTTGCCAGGGAGAGAAGAGAAAGTGAGAAAAAAATATCCCTCATGGGATATGGTCGGGCCATAATCTCTTCTCCATTTCTCCTTCCTTTTGGAATTTTGGGCATGCACGCACATGTATCAGGTGGGTTTTTTTTTTTTTTTTTTTTAACTTCTGGGTCTGGGACTCAAACACATAGACAGCCATGTGAGATCCAGCTCATGGTTTTTGTTTGTTTGTTTGTTTGTTTATATTAGAGAGAAAGTGAGAACGTACCACTCCTTGAACCCCACTACTCAGAGGGTGATGGCTCTGCCACAATCCCTTCTCCATTTGGGCATGCATATACATTTGCCTGATGAGTTTTTCAAGTTGCTGGGTCTGGGACTTGAACTGCACAATTGGCCATGTGAGATCCAGCCACTTTAACCACCATGCCACAGACTGGTCTTCAACTTTTTTTTTTGGAGAGGTTTTTGCTATAGGGCGCGTGCGTTCGCCAGACAGACAGACAGAGAGAGACAGAGATACAGAAAGCGAGAAATCACCCCCCAGAAGGGATGGCCACACCGCAATCCCTTCTCCTCCATTCTCCTCTCAGGATCTTGGGCATGCATGCACACGCACCCAGCGTGAGTTTCAAGCCACGGGTTCCAGGACGCGAACCACGGTCAACTACATGGGAGTCCAGCGACGTAACCATTACGCTAACTGCTGGTCCCTTCAACTTTTTTCTTTTTTTATGCTTGCTACGGGGTGTGCAGTCGCTGGAGAGAGACAGAGACAAAGAGAAAGAGATAAAAAGGGAAAGCGAGAAATCATCCCTCATGGGAGATGGCCATGCCTCAATCTCTTCTCCTCCATTCTCTTCTTGTTATTTTGGGCATGCACACACATGCTTCCAGCATGTTTTTCAACCCATTAGGTCTGGGACTTGAACTGTGAGTGGCCATGTGAGATCCAACTGCCTTAACCTCCATGCTACCTGCTGGTCCCCCATATTCTCTCTTTTCTTTCAAGGCTTTTGCCATAGGGTACGTGCTTTTGCCAGAGAGAAACAGAGAGAGAGAGAGACAGAGAGAGGGGGGGTGTGAACGAGAGAGAGAGAGACAGTGAGAGGGAGAGTGAGAAATCATTCCCCAGGTGAGATGGCCACACTGCACTCCCTTCTCTTCCATTCTCCTCCTGGGATTTGGGGCATGCATATTCATGTACCTGGCATGATTTTCAAGCTGCTGGGTCTCAGACTTGAATTGTGGCTGACCAAGTGGAAGTTTAGTGCTGTACCTACTCTACCTACTGGCTCTAGGCCCCACATATTCTTTAATTATTGAACTAGCTTGAGTTAGGCTTGTCACTTTTGACAGAAGTTCTAATATAAAAAATTATGCCCAGGGACCAGCAGATGGTAGAGCAGTTATGTGGCTGGACTCCCACTTGGTTGACCATAGTTCAAGTCCTAGACTCAGTGGCTTAAAAATCACGCCGGGTGCATGTGTGTGCATGCCCAAGATCCCATGAAGAGAATGTAGGAGAAGGGACTGCAGTATTGCCATCCCTGCTGGAGGGTGATTTCTTATTTTCCCTCTCACTGTCTCTGTCTCTCTCTCTCTCCAGCAAGTGTACAAGTCCTATGGCAGAAACCTCTTTTTAAAAATGCCTAAACTGAAAATTGAGGTGATGATAAGAAATTTCCTCCAGTTAAAAAAAAATTCCTAAAAACAAATGAATAAATAAATTCTGACCCTATTTTAAACATCAGCCACACTCCTTCAAGCTATCAATCCAAGAATAATCTGAACATCTTTAAGTAAGCATAAATGGTACAAGTGACAGTATTTCCACTGACTCCTTTTAAGAACAACTATACATGGCAGTAAAGGCAATTGCTTATGAAAATTATCATGTGGTCACATGTGTCCTGAAGATATCAAAGAATATACAATAAAATAAGTGAATATAATAATTGCAAAACCTCTGCTGAGAAGTCAGAGAAACTGTATTGTAAAAGAACATAGTTTTGAGACCAGCAGATGGTGTAATAGTTACATTGCTGGACTCCCACATAGTTGACTGTGGTTCAAGTCCCGGACTTGGTGGCTTAAAACTCATGCCAGGTGCATGTGTGTGTATGTACCCAAAATCCTGAGA